TCTATCTATCTATCTATCTATCTATCTATCTATCTATCTATCTATCTATCTATCTGTCTGTCTGTCTATCTATGCCTAACTCCTTGCGCTGGTGGTTGGAGGATACGACTGACTGGTAGGTTTTACATGTTTACTTTCCGTTTGTTGTTGCTGGCTGTTTGTGTGTCTGCCGATCATACTTTCACGGAGCAAAATGACCATTGTTGTGTCGATGTGCTTCCCTTTCCTCCCATAAACAACCCCCCCCCCTTCCAAAGAAGTTTAACCAGATTTCTGAATATATTTCAGGTCACTGTGTTGTTTCTCCTGAACTCTTCCACATTTTTGTTTCACAGCTTTAAAAAAGTATCATACGAGTCAAATTTCTTTGATAATAAATATTTTTAAAAACGATGAACACATTTACCTCATGTCGCCCAAGGAACTTGACTGAGCAGGGCAAGATGGCAGTGGCCATTTCTTTGACGGTCACGTTTGCCATTGGGGAGTCAAAGCTGGGCTCGAGGGTCATGAGCTGGGAGATATCTGAGGACAAGTTGATACTTTGGTTACAAAGTGAGGGTTTGCATTTTTGGCAGGTTTTCATTCAACTCTTCAAACTGACCTAATAGGGGAGGGGGGGGGATCATTGTGTTTCTTTTCTTATTGAACAAGACTGACATGTCATACAAAATGTGAAAATGCAAAACAAGTCTGTGCTTCACTAATTCTTTCGGAGAAACTTTCTCCTTGCTCGGTATATTTGCGGTAAACTTAAGTTTGCCTCTCTACAAGAACTAAAGGTACATGTAGGTATTTTTACGTCTCCATTGACATAATTAAGGAGGTGAGCTTCTGACCCTACCTGTCAGGGCCAACCCAGGCTGAGAGGGATACAAGATCCCCGCAGAAAGATCGAGATACTAGATAAAAGTGTTCTCCCCAGGCAGAAATCGAACTTAAGTCTACTGCGTCCAGAGCGAAGCGACTAATCACTGCACCATAGACGCTAGTTTAAAAGACCTTGTTCAGTGTAAGTTATTGTCTTAATGTTAAAAAAACACACACGCACAAAATCTATCTATCAGTCTACCTCTCTCTCTGTCTCTGTCTCTCTCTCTCTCTCTCTCTCTCTCTCTCTCTCTCTCTCTCTCTCTCTCTCTCTCTCTCTCTCTCTCTCTCTCTCTCTCTCTCTCTGTCTCTCTCTGTCTCTCTCTGCCTCTATCTGTCTCTCCGTCTGTCGGTCTGTCTGTCTGTCTGTCTGCCTGTCGGTCTCTCTCTGTATATTTTATATATATATATTTATTATATGTATTATACACATATGTATATTATGTCTGTGTGTGTGTGTGTGTGCGTATGTGTGTGTGTGTGTGTGTGTGCGTATGTGTGTGTGTATATATACAATTTTTATACGTTTTTATTTATTAATACTGATTCTCTCTACCAGTGCCCGCTAATGAAGAAAACACGCCTCTAAAAATGTTGTGTATCGTCTAGAGACAGTGGACCTCTAACAATGTAGGCGGTGGTTGGCAGCTCCTGGGGTATACCTTGTCCACCAGCTAAAGAACCCGTCCTACTTGTAGGATTACAGCGCACGAGTGTACTGTTCTCGAGTTTAAACTCAAACCGCAAAGGCGTGAATTGGGGATCGTGGAACATTTTCCCGCAGCAAGAGCAAGAGCTTTAGCGCACATCTCAAGAAAAATACATTCCTTTCCAGTGTCCAAAGCAAGAGTTATGTGTGGTGTGAGATAACGCCAGAATCGTGTCCGGTGAGCGAGGAAGCAATGAATCTGTAGATGTTGTGAGAAGACTTGATGAATCTTTCAGTCACTACCCCGAGACGCCAATTATTTACATAAGTGTTGCCTTATTTTTCATCTTCCACTGGAACGTGCGTTTTGGCGCGATTCAGGAAATGGCGATAAGGGCGAAAGTCTTGGCAAGAATCTCCTGGAAAAGCAAAGGATATGTAGTTCCCCTGAGATTCGGGAATACTTCGGTTTACGAAAGCTCAAGTAAAATGGTAAAATGTTGTTGCCGTTAATGACGATAATGATACATATGTTATTTCTGTGTTACAGTTTTATCACTTTGGTGAAACATGTTTAACAGCTCTCAGTATTGGGATTTCGACGGAGTGCTGCTGTAAAGTGATCAAAGGTTTTATACATGTATTTTGTGAGCATGTAAACACGGTTTAACAAGATCGTCATATTATGCTATGTGTTTGAGAGGCTGGACATTTGTGAGTAACAAGACAGCTCGTCGAAAGAATCAAAGGGGCATATGAAGTAAAAATTAAAGGCAACTACAAGATCAGTTGAGAGAAATATCCCGTCAGATTTCACCCTGTTTTCTCTCTGCTGCGCCCGTTTACATTCTTGCTTGTATATATACTATCTGTCATTTGTTTGGCAGAAAATTCGTTGTAACTGTTGGTCTACCCACGTGCGTGTTGTTTATACAAGTACTTCGTCTTTTTGAATTTATACTTTAACCACAACGACCCAAGTGTTATCACTGTTTCCTTCCAATTATCATAACCGAAAAATAACTTTGACCGAAGAGGTTAGAGCCGCTCAGACAGTGCTTATTATTTTCACTAGAGGCTAACGAAGTGAAACAACGAGGAGGGGAGGAGAGGGAGGGAGGGGGGTCGTTAGAGTAGACGAAGAAGACATAAGACGAATAAAGATGCTGCGAAGAACCATGGGTAGTGAGGCTGAGATTGATGAAGACAGGCTGGACCAATCAGCGCCGAGCACCAGGCGAAGAGCACTCCTTTAACCCAGCCAGCGTAACTGACTGCGACGCCATTGTGGGTAACCCGTATCGCTATCAGACAACTTGCTGGCGTTACTTCCCCTTCCCCGGCACGCCTTACAACGGAACCGGAACATGTATAACCGTGGCAAGAGGAATCACTTTCCCCGCGGGTTATGTCTAATATTTGACCAGTGGCTTCTCCCGTGGGATCAATAGGGGTTCTCACTAGAGAACATACAATGGACATCTATTTGAGCAAATGGGGAGTGAGTCAACACTCCTATTTCAAGAAATTGTGAGCGGGGGTCCAATTTGAGGCATCCGAGGGTTTTTGCGGGTGCTTCTTAATCTACACAGCCAATCGAATTTATTGGGGCCGCTTTTTCATCTCTGTCTCTCGCCTGGCGTATGGTCGCGGTGTGTTGAGCAAAGACGTGCCGATAATGAAATGGACGAAATACGTTTAGAAATTTCCATTTCAATTCCACGTCCGCATGAGAACGATTCGCGACGCTGCAAACGAAACAAAATCGTAATTCTTGTCTACCCTATGAATAATAAAAGGAAGCGAAGAGGGGGTGTCGGCTCACTAGTTCAAAGACGACAGGGGTTTGTTTGGGTTTTGAGAAAAAAATAAATCGAGATCTCTATTTTACTTTAGATAAACAGCAGTTTAGAAAATGAGAGGAGAAGATTCGTCGTTCGTCTCAACTATAAAGATTTCTTGTACTGTCATCGCAACAGTCCGTAGTAGAAAATAGCCATCTATATTTTTTTCCCTTAGCTAAAAGGCATATCCCACACTTTAAAAAAAAGTAGTCTAGACGTCTTAGAAATTCACTTAGAGACTGCTACTACTTTGATACTTTGAAGTAAGTTCCTCTGCAAAGAACTGAATCACACTTGGGGAGAAGGGGTGGAGGTCCTGGTGTCGGCAGTTTGGATCAAAACAAACCAGAAAATGACATGGCTTCATTGTATCACTCATGTGGACCTTGAAAGTTGGGGGAAGACTTGCAATTCGTCTTTGAAGTTAACCTTGAAGTTGAAGTTTGAGGAGAAATCAAGAAAATTGGGATCATAACTTATTATATGTCATGGGCATTTTCTGAAAAGGGTCCAAAAATGTATGAAAGCGCTTCTGTACCCTAAAGTGGTGTATGATGGGACTGTAGAACAAAGGGTGTAGACACTTTGGAGAAAATAATTGTCAGTTTTAGTTTCACAAAGCATGTTCTGCATCGCTTATATGTATCGGTTTTAGTAGGATGTAGCTATTTCTACTGTGCTAATACATATTTATTATATTACCAAGTATTTGCCATGTTTTAGATTAAAATATGTTTTGAAAGGGGGGGGGTTACAAGAAAATTATTTTGATATTTTCTGACCTTTTTCAGCTGTTTTCTCAAAATGCCATTTTTCCAGGCATCGTCCCATTGCTCTGCTCTGTTTCTTAATTTGATTTTAGTGTAACTTTCACATGATGTTAACAACACCTAGTTTTTAAAAAATTGTATAAAGAAATTTTTGATTGTATATGTTAAGTAGTGTTTGACAATTGATTTCAGAAAGCCTGATTTTTTTTTTCGTTTTCATCACAGTTATGCATAAAAATGACATCAGATATAACAGTACTACTTATTATCCATATAGCATAATTAAGGGAGAGTGGGGTACTTGTTGTTGGGAAGGGGGTGAGACGGTAAAAAAAAGCAAGGAGCTGGTGGTTGTGTGGCTTCATTCTTAGGTCCTATTGCTAGTCTTTCTCTTTTTTTCTTGTCTATCTGTCTTGCTTTTTCTTGACACTGAAAATTTGATTTTGTGTCTTAGTTCATTACTCTTTTTTTTTTGTCAGTGTTTTACGGTGCTCGCAACTGCATAAGGTCATATGAGCGCGCGGGACACATTAAACTTATTCAGTTGGTAGGAAATTTCGAATTTTGCCCGGGTTGTGGCCGAAGCCTACTCTTATCGATTTTAGACCACCAAGGGATCATAAACGTGTGCAACCTGCACACGGGCGCTCCGAGATTTTTCGCCTTTGTCCGAGAAGGCTAGGTGTAGATCTTTCCTACCAGAACATCAGGGTTGTGGCTGAAAGACAGCAGTAAGAAGGAGCCACGCAGTAGCAGTAGAAAGGCTGCAGAAAGAGTCAGGAGCCCAGAGGAGGGGGCAAAGAGGTGAGGGAGTGGGGACAGAAGGAGGAGACGAAAGCAGACAACAGAACATTGCTAGAGAGCAGGGAAAAGGGTGAAAGGAGACAATTTTAAAGAAGAAGATGTTTCGGTCGCTACCCGGATTCGAACCCGGGACCTTTGAATGAGAGGCCAACACCTTAAACCTCTAGGCCACGAGAGCCTCCTCCTTCGTTACTCTACTCAAATGAGCAAATACAACAGAGAAAGTTAAAAGAATGTAAACAACGCAAAAAGACCGCCGATATTAGCAAAACTTAGAAAGAGAGGGAGAGAGAGAGAGAGAGAGAGAGAGAGAGAGAGAGAGAGAGAGAGAGAGAGAGAGAGAGAGAGAGAGAGAGAGAGAGAAATGAGAGAGAGAGGGGAGCATGGGGAAGGGAAAGCGTGCGAGAGAAGGGGGTAGAGAGAAGGAAAGAGAGTGCGAGAGAGAGAGAGAAAGAAAGAGAGAGAGAGAGGGGGGAAAGAGAGAGAAAGAGAGAGAGAGAGAGAGAGAGAGAGAGAGAGAGAGAGAGAGAGAGAGAGAGAGAGAATAACCCAAATGAGACCAGGGAGTAGACTCACAAACCATTTTGT